GAATCATGTTACATCATAGAAAGTTGATCCTTTTGCGATCTGAAGATTGGACTTGTCGAAGCCAATGAATTTTGGAGCACTGACAAAAATGTTAGCAATGTTTTGAGGTCAGTTTCCTTTCTACTTCAATTCAACGAATCATTTGGTAACGTCGCATTTACAAAACTAATAATTCAGAGCTGTCTTTGCTTTGACGTTATCCGTCAACTGCGCCGTATTATGAAGGAATTATTTACCTATGCGACAATGCACAACGCTTAACCATCTGGAAGCTTATCATGCGAGAATGGACAACGGTCGGTTTCGAATCTCGACCTGGCTTGCACGTCGAAGTGCCATTTTTGTAAGGGACTCTGACAAGTAATTCCATCTCGCTAGGGTGCAGCGTCACCAATCCAGACGGAAATACGGTGAGTCGATCAAACCGGAAGGGGGACACTATATAAGTTTTTTTAGGTTTTCGCACATTAATTTATAAGTGTCATCATTGCACTCATCTAATGTCGTTGCTATAAAAATACAGCTATAGGGAAATGGCCATTACCTAGAAACCGACCGGGCCACTGGCCGCATGGCCGGGGTGGAATCGTTTGAACGCACAGACACAGTTATCAACAGTATAAACCGATGTGCCAGCGCGCTGGCAAACAGCATGACCACAATTCCTACTGGAGTCTGAGAACACTGTGGCAGACATGAAAAATTTTGTCATCTGGTCGTTGCAACTGGACAATAATAGCACGTACAAACCATGACCAGGGTTCGAAGTCGTAATCGATAAGTTTCCAGTTCAGCGCTCACACGATAACATATTTAAAAGTATGAGGAATGGATTGAGGTACGAAAGTAGGATTGCAAAGAGAAAGTTATCTAGATGAAGATTCGGTCTACACGAATGCGTGATGGACATAGAACCAGGAAAGTTTCATATGCAAGCAAGGAAAAATTTTTTTGTCTGTAAGATATGAATTTTGCTTACCATGCACAGGATATTAAAACGGTTATCCGGTGTTCCTAGGCTACATTATAAACATTAATTCTAAAGCTTAAATGCTGTATCCGCGAATTAACCAAGATTTGAAACTGTAGATAGTGCATAAATTTGAAAAATAACTTACAACGACCAGGTTGGCAGCATGCGCTGCGATCAGTGCATACACTCCACCGGATGCACCAGCTAGAAGTACGTTTGGATCAGTGACAGAAACAGCGAGAGAGCCCATGAGGGCTCCCAACAGATATACCAATCCAATTCGCCAGTACTTATGAACGAGCTCTAGAGGAAGTCCAATGAACAGCTGAGCGATGCAATTGAAAACAATATGGTATATTCTAAATAAAATAATAATTTTATATGTCATTAATCGACCAATGCATGAGCACGAAAATAAATGAGGATAAATTAGATGGGAAACGGACATTGAATGAACCAGCTTCAAGTCTATTTGTATGGTACGAAGGTGTGGAAACGTTTAAAAGTTCTGAATCGTGCTCTG